CCAATTGGCCCTACCCTGAGCGTGACTGAGGGTGGCATCACAACCTTCCAATCCGCCCTGCTCTGTGCATGACAGGGGGCGGCGCCCCAACTCCCCAATCGGCCCTGCTCTGAGCCCGACCAGGGGTTGCACCTAGGGATTAGGCCTGCCCTCTGCCACCCAGGAGCGGGCCTAAGCCAGCAGGGGGGTGCATTTTAAGATGAGGCAGACCCTCAAAAAGATTAACCAATAGGCCAGGTAACTCAGTTGGTTAGAGCATTGTCCTAAAGTGTCATGTTGGTATGCCAAGGTTGTGGGTTTGATCTCTGGTCAGGGCACACAAAAGAAGCAACCAGTGAATGCATAAATAAGTGGAACAATAAATCAATTTCTCTCTCTCTCCTCCCTCATTCCTCTCTCTTTCAAATCAATAATTTTTTAAAAAAATATTAAGTTGCTTAAGGTCATGCTATTTTATCTTATCTTTGAGAGCAGTGAGTATTCTTAATCTGCCAATTTGATAAGACAAAAATAGTCCCTGTTACTCTTTAATGTTTATTGGACAAGTAATTCACATGACTTTGTACAATTTACTTAAATGCTTAAGTATCAATTTCGTTATTATTAAATGAAAATAAAAGGGTGGAGAATTGGATAATTCATAGAGTACTTAATACAGTAGCATATAATTATAACTCTCAAAAGTTATTGTTTTATTTATTATACAAAAATTAAAAATAAAGATAAGCCAAAGTAAGACAATAAAAATATCCTGTAATCCAGAGCTATTACCATGAAAAATTTGTTGGATCTTTTTTTATAGACATCTATATGCTTATGATAGCTTATTAACTGAAAATTAAGTTATAAAACCATGTGTACAGTTTTTTTTAAAGATATATTTTATTTATTTTTTACAGAGAGGAAGAGAGAGGGATAGAGAGTTAGAAACATTAATGAGAGAGAAACATCGATCAGCTGTTTTCTGCACACCTCTTACTGGTGATGTGCCCGCAATCCAGGTACATGCCCTTGACCGGAATCGAACCCGGGACCTTTCAGTCTGCAGGCCAACGTTCTATCCACTGAGCCAAACCAGTTAGGGCCATATGTACAATTTTTATCTTCCCGGCTTTTTTGTAGCATTAGTGCTACAACTAGTCACGTCACTTGTCTTCTGGGACACTATCATCTTGTCTCCAGTTTCTTTATTCATCATCCTTTGAGGGATCCCAGTTGTTATAGAACCGAATGTTTCTAGAAGGAAAGTGAAATCAAATGCAGCACAGAGTTGAAGGAAGATAAGGACTTAGAATTACACATTTCAGGGGAGTGGTGAGAGCAGAACCTCGTGGCAGTTGGGTCAGTGCAGTGGTCGGCAAACTCAGTCAACAGAGCCAAATATCAACAGTACAACGATTGAAATTTCTTTTGAGAGCCAGATTTTTTAAACTTAAACTATATAGGTAGGTACATTGTTATTAACTTAATTAGGGTACTCCTAAGCTGGGCTTTGCTAAAAATGCCCTCAATCTGAGGGGTTGACCTCAGCGAATGTATCCCCACTTCTTCAAAATAGACTCGCCCAGTCTGAAAACCGACTTCTGCGCATGGGCCACGAAGTTTCAATCGCACTGTACGTGTGCGCCCACACGTGGTATTTTGTGGAAGAGCCACACTCAAGGGGCCAAAGAGCCGCATGGGCTCATGAGTCGCGGTTTGCTGACCACTGGGTTAGTGAATGGAAGGTATGTAGAAAGTACCTTTTCTGGGAATTTGCATGTGAAACATGGTTTCTAATATGGGAAAGGATTGAACATTTTGTTGACTGAGGGGTAGATCTAATGATAGAGTGACCAAGTTTACAAGACAGATATGACTGGTAGACAAGGTACCAAGAGTTGAAGGGCTGAGGTCTAGGGGACAGTAGAGCAGTTGACTTTGGGTTGAACCAGGGGTTGACCTTGAGGCCTACGGAAGGGCAGAATGTTGAGAGAGTGGATGGATATTTAGGTGGGGACATGGGAGATCAAAATAGAACATTTCAACTGGCCTCCATTTAACATAATTTTAAAAATATTTTTATTGGTTTTAGAGAATAAGGGAGAGATAGAAACATCAATGATGAGAATCATTGATTGGCTGCCTCCTGCACACCCCAAACTGGGGATGGAGCCCACAACCTGGGCACGTGCTCTGACTGGTAATTGAACCATGACCTCCTGGTTCATAGGTCAGTGCTCAACCACTGAGCCACACTGGCCGGGCTGGTTTGTTTTTAGACTTTGCTCTTGTAAACAATGCTGCAGCAAACACTTGTTTTTCATGTCTTCTGGTCTGCTGATGCATGCAACAGTTTCTCCAGTGTAAATGCTTTGCTTTCTTGGCATCTTTCTCCATACGCCTCTCACCTCACCAACAGTGTTCTTGTACTGTTTGTTCTTCAACACAGGATATTGCCCGTGGCTGCCCTCCTCCAGACTCCTGAGGGAAGCTCCTAAAAGAAGTATTTTTCATTTGTGAAAAGCTGTTCTTGGCTACAGCATAGGTGATCCACAAGAGAATCCATGGTATGTTACAAAATATGCATTACGATTTAGGTGAAATAAGCCAGACACAAAAGGACAAATATGTAATTCTAAGTCCTTATCTTACTTCAACTCTGTGCTGTACCTAGAATAGGCAAATCTATAATTTAGAACATAGCTTAAAAGTTCTCAAGGTCTGGGGGGGAGAAGGGAGTGGGAGTTATTACAGAGTTGCTGTTTGGGAGATGAAATAATTCGATGTCAGTAGTGATTATGGTTGCATGCTGCTGTAAATGTACTTAATACCACTAAATTGTCCACTTAAAAATAGTTAAAATAGTGAATTTTATATTATATGTATTTTACCACAATTTTAAAAAGTTACATATCCAAGAAGAGTAAAAAACCTGGCAAGTAATCATAAAAAGGAGAAGGAAGAATAAATTATTTTACCAAGGCTTAAAATAAAAAGAAATTCTGATATGTGCAGCAATGTGGATGAACCTTGAAAACATTATGCTAAGTCATATAAGCCAGGCACAAAAGGACAAATGTTTTTATTCCAATTATATGAAATATTCAGAGTAGGCAAATTCATAGAAACAAAATAGATTAGAGCTTCCAGGGTTTGGGGGGAGGAGGAATGAGTTGGGGTGATAAAAAGTTTTGGAAATAGTTTGTGGTGATGGTTGCACAACATTATAAGTATAATTAATGCTCCTGAACTGTATACTTAAAATGGCAAATTTTGTTACATATAATTACCATAATTTTAAAAAATGAAGTACTGATATATACTACACAAAATGGGTGAACATGAAATTTGCTGAAAGGACTCAGTGAGAAAGAACCGTGTATTATATTATTCTACTTAATGAAATGTCCATAATAGACAAATCCAGAGATAGGAAGTAGATCAGTGGTTGCCTGGGGCTGGAGGAAACAGGGTGACGTACACAGGGTAATGTATGGGGTTTCTTTTGGAGGTGATGCAAATCTTGGGAACACAACTAAAAACCAATTTATATACTTTAAATGAGTAAATTACATGTTACATTAATTATCCTGTATAATAAAAGGCTAATATGCAAATTGACCAAATGGCAGAATAACCGGTCACTATGACGTGCACGGACCACCAGGAGGCAGATGCTCAATGCAGGATCTGCCCCCTGGTGGTCAGTGCTCAGCCAGAAGCTGGGCTCACAGCTGGCAAGTGCAGTGGTGGTGGCGGGAGCCGCTCCCGCCTCTGCAGCAGTGCTAAGAATGTCCAACTGACGGTAGCAGGCTTGGTAGCGGGCTTAAGTCGGCAGTTGGACATCCCCCGAGGGCTCCTGGATTGCGAGAGGGTGCAGGCTGGGCTGAGGGACCCCCCCCCCCCCCGCCGCCCCGCATATAATTTTGTTGCACCAGGCCTCTAGTATCTCAATAAAGCTGTTACAGAAAAATTAATTGCAGTGCTAAGTACTAAGCAGACAAAGGACGCCTCTTACATCTCGGCAGTTAAAAGGCAAAGGGAAGGCAAGGGTTCCTTCCTTTGGACCAGTTATTGGTACTGACTGGTTATGTCCATTCGAGGTTGGGTTGGATTTGTCCGATTGTGTCAGGCATGTTTTATATCCCTCCCCAAAGCGCGCATCCTCTTAGCATGTCTGCAAAACTGGCACAGGGCTTGGTATGAGGAAGGGGACTGGATTCAACAAAAGGGTTAAAACACTCAAGAGGTCTTGCAACTGCAATTTTATTTTCTTTTGTGAAAATAAACAGCTTATTGGGAGTTCAAATTGCTCCAAAAACCCCATAAAAACAAAAAGAAATACACACAGAAGCATGTGAGGTGACGGGGAGGGAGGGTGTTTAGAACTTTGGCAGACAGCTAGACTGAGCCTCGGAGCAGTTCCTGTCTGCCGCTCTGGGACTGTGAGGGGGAGATCTTGACTGGTGAAGGGTGGAACACGGACTTCGTCACTAAGGAAGTGGCAGGCACCTTGAGTCTCTTGGGGGGAGGGGTGCTGGTGGAGACAGACCAGGCAGGGTCTTCTCACATGGTGAGAGCCTTACACTGGGCAGAGGGCGAAAGGATGGAGGCAGGAACCCATGGAGCTGAGCAAAGAATTGGGGCGAGATCAAAAGAAATGTCCGGGAATGGGGTCTAGATGAAGAAGCAACAGGCTAGGAGTCGCAGCAGTGGCCACGCAGCCCGGGTGGGGGGCTGGGGCACAGGGGGAGGTGGGAGGAGGGAGGAGGCGATCTCAGAGGTAGAGAGAGGAGGGTCTTTTGCCCAGGTCCATCCACCACTGCATGTACGGGAAGAATGACACACTACTTTTCAGTTCTTTCTTTTAAAGATTTTTTTTTGTGGGTTTTGTTTTGTTTTTTAAAAAAGCCTTAAGGTCAGCTACTGGTTACATCTACAAAATGTAAAGTGCTGCTGTTACCAGTCACTTTACAGAACAGTCCAGGGTGGTCAAATATTGACCAATAAAGTTTCCTTTTTTTTTCCTTCCTCTTCTGAATCATTACTACTCGATGGGTCACTTGACAGCCTGCATAGGTCACAGGGCAGCTTAGTGGGCAGACTTGGTGACCAAGGAAAGAGGCTGGGCCTGGAGCACGGGGAGGGCCTGGTGTGCATGGAGCGTGGCCGGGAAGGAGGGGGGAGAAGTCAGCAGAGCTGTGGGCATGGACCCGAGGGGGAGGGGCCGGGAGAGGAGTGGGGGCTGGCTGCCCATCTGGCCAGAGGACGTGGCTGCAGCCTTAGCTGACAGGAAGGCAGCCGAGTGAAGAGCCAGCTGGGCCCGGGCCTCTGGCTTGGTGGTGAGGGAGAGGGGCTGGGCTTGCTCCGAGTGGGTGGCAGCAGGGGCAGCCGGTGAGGCCAGGGCTGCGGAGGGGGTCGCCGGGGAGTCTAGCATGCTGCCATGGGAAGAGGCAGGGCTGTCACAGGGCTTCTCGGGGGGCAGGTACTGAACACACGGCTTCTTGCTTTTGGAGGCCAGAGCACCTGGGGGAAAAACACACGGAAGAGTGAGTAGCTAGTAGCTCTGGCGAGGCAGAGGCTGCAGAAGAGGCCTGGCTATGCACAGCATCTGGAAACACAAGAATCCTTCCTGGGAGGGAAGCGAGGACCTGGAATTGCATCCAAAGCTTTCAAGGTGAGGAAGCTGCATTCGGGGATGCCTAGAGCAGAGAGAAGGGGCAATGCCAGTGACCACCACCAATTCAGTGTCTGACCGGAGGAAAGACAGCTCCGCCTACCGCATCGTCGTCTTCCTTGCCCACATCTCATCATTTGGGGGATGGATCTCCGCTCAATTTGCTTTAAAAATCTTTAGCTTACGGTGCTAGCGGGAACAGTGTGTCACCTGCTAAGCAGCGTGGCATGCAGTGGATTGTTGCAGCATATTCATAATTTATGTGTGTGTGGTCATGTGTAGATGAATGGAAGGAAGGAAGGAAGACCACTTAGATGGTTGTGGCCTTTTATTCCCATCCTGGAGTGAGCATGAGATGAGAGGTGTGACTAAGTGCTTGCCACAGTGTGAACCTCTGTGCCAGGTGTGATTCTGGTGCACACATTTTTTTTTAGCACAAGGCGGCCCCTGAACTTGATCAAACTATTTCTTCTGGTGTTTGACCAACTAGACACTGGCAGCAAAGCTGATTCTGCTGGGTCCACTGACAGGCAGTACGTCGGCCCCTAATATCTGCCTTCCCGAGGGGATTTCCACGGCATTCAGTTTTTACCTTACACACTGACGTTAGAACCTAACCCTCCAATAAGATGCAACTGAAGCGCGTTCCAAAGCGCCCAAGGTTCCAAGTGAGAAAGTGCTGGGATCCAATCCCTGAACTTCCCCAGCTCTTAGCTGGTCATCTCTAACACGAGGATAACAGTAATGCCTGCGTGAGCACATGAGGCGGAGGCCCTGGACAGGCAGCTGTCACCCAGCACTGTCCCTGTGTCCATCCGGTGCAGTGTCACCCTTAGGCAGATCAGCTGGGGCAGCGGGAGGCAAAGGAAAGAGGCAGCGGCTCCTTTAGACTCACCCTCTGCCTCGTGGACTTGCTGCTGGGACTGTGTCTGCGACAGCTGCTTTTCTCTCTTCCTCTTCTTTTTCTTACCCTAAAAAACACGGCCAAAGGAAGAGGCCACAGAGACAGAACACCTGGCTTTTCAGGGGGATGCCCAGGTAAGAAGGGGGGCCACTCAACCCCCACCGGAGTCTCAGAAGTGTGTCTTCCTTTAGTGCCCCTCCCCCTCGATTCCTGCCCTCCAGCTCAGGTGTCCTGTCTTTTGAAAGGCCCCACCCTGTCGCTGCACTTCAACCTTGTTTTTCCGTTTCTCTCCCTAGATCCTTTGGAGGGGTCCTAGGTCCCACTGAAAAATCTAATTCAGCTACGAACCCTCTTACCGGAAGAGAGCCAATAAGAACATGCACACAAAAAGCTGCCGTTTCAGGGTCGTAGACATGCCAGCTGAGGTCATGTGTTGGCCGCTCCACCCCCGGCCAGGAACCCCTGGCTACCTTCCACCACCAGCGCTAGCCCTGAAGTGGGGTCGGAGGCCGAGTCCCATCAATCAGGAGGGACACAAGTTTAAGCGTGTTGTCAGGACACCAGAACCCTGCCCTTGTGGACCTGCCTGCCTTATTTCTAGAGAAATACAGGCCTCCCCTGGCCTCGGAGTCCTCCGTTCATGTCGTTAACTTCCCTCCCTCTTCCGCGAGCGGAGGCTGCTCTGGGGTCTGAGCAGCACTTACGTAGTTGTCCCGGGCTGACCAGGTCGGGTAGAGCTGGGAGTGAAGCTGCCGCTCCTTCCGGGCCAGTTCGTAGTATTTGGCCTGCTCTTCTCGGGACAGGTTGTGCCACTGTGAGAGGGAGCGGAGAGGGTCAGAGACAGGGAGCGGGGGACGCAGGGACGCCGGCCACACAGCTGGCGGGTCGGGGCGGTCTTACCTTTCTCCCCAGGATTTGATTGATGGCAGCACTTTCCTTCAGGGTGCACTCAGCCACCACCTTGGCCCTCATCTCCTTCATGTATAACATGAAGGCATTTAGGGGCTTCTTCACGTGGGGTTTCTTTTCTTCCTCCTTCTTCACCGTGACTGGTGATTTCCTGGGAAGTGGGTTAGCAGGTGTCAGCTGTCACCTGGCTCACCAACCCCCGCCTCCCACTGCGACTGGGGAGGGGAGGAATGTGGATTCCAGCGGCCAGTGGCTGCTCTCAGCACCTGAGCGCCTCCCACTAGTAGTTCCAACCCAACCCTCTGGATCACTGGGCCACACCCTACAGAAGGAGAATTCCCTGATGGAGGAGCAGGGGGGTGGTGACGGCTGGGTTGTACTGGCCACAGGTGATACAGATATAGGGGTGGGGCGCCCTGGGCAGAAACAAGGGGTGGGCTCTCCTGGGCCATGAGGCACTGACTGGCTTTCCTGCCCTTTACAGCCCTGGTGCCACCAAGCCCTGTGACCTGAGAAAAGCCTTCTTTCTGGGCCTCACATTTTCACGTGCATCATGGGAGAAGGGAAGCCAAAGGCTTTCTCCGGTTCTCTTGTAGCCTCTAAATCCTGACCCTAAAACTTAATTTATTTTTTAATCCTCATCCGAGGATACTTTTTCCATTGGTCTTTAGAGAGTGGAAGGGAGAAGAGGGGAAGAGAGAGAGAGAGAAAGACATCAACTAGTTGCCTTCCGCACACGCCCCAACCGGGGCTGGGACTGAACCTGGGACCCTTCGGGCCGAGGGCTAATGCTCTAATCACCGGCCAGGACTGTAAATTTTTAAAAAAATTTATTTATTTATTTATTTCAGAGAGGAAGGGACAGGGAGGGAGCGATAGAAGCATCAGTGATCTGAAAGATGACCAGGAATCGAACCGTGACCTCCTGGTTCATAGGTTGACACTCAACCACTGAGCCACGCCGGCCAGGCTGTAAAACCTTTTTTAATGAGAAAAGATGCAGAATGTCTCAAAGAGCCAAAGGGAACAATTTCCTGGGGAGAGGATTTGGCTGAGGGAGGCTGCTGGGCTGCCCGCTCAATGCCACCAGGAGAGAGAAAGAAATAGCAGCTGCTGCTTAGATACTGGTGACTCAGCCCCGGAGGCCTGTTACTCACGCGCTCACGGCTGGGCTCAGGCTGGGGGGTGCCGGCTCCTGCTTGACGATGGGGGAGACGATGGCGGGGTGGGGAATCCCTGAGGTGGGCAAACCAGGATGGGCCGGAGCCACCATGTGAGGGGAGAACCGACTGGAAACCAGGCTGTGCAGCAGGTGGAGAGGACGAAAGAGGGATTCAGGCCCAGTGCTCGTCAGCAGTGGGTGTGGGTGGCCCCTGCCCTTCCTGCAGAGGCGGGTCAGCACCTCTGCTGTGGCCGAGTGTGAGGAAGGGAAGGCCATCGCTGACCTCTTGGGAAGATGAGGTTTGGGAAACACCCAATAAGCCTGCCCTCCCCCTACAAATGCACAGGGTTCCTATTTCTGGTGCTGGAAGCGAGTAGGAGGAAAAGTGGGGTGTATAATGGGACAATATGGGCTTCTGTGGGTCGCATTTCCTTTGTCACTGGGGGTACCATGGTCAGGCAGAGCTGGCCCTGTGCATAAATCTCCTTTCCCTCTGCCCTCCCCTGACATCACTGAGGAAAAACCAACCTTCCCCCATCTCTGGCGTCAGTGTGAAATGAGTTGTCTACCTACGATGCAGGTACTACTATGTTTGCTCTACTTCAATAGGAAGTGCGTTACACAATCATCTCCATGAATCAGGCTGAAAAAGGGTTTTCACAAGAAATAGATTCACAGAGCTTTCAAACTCAAAGGCAAGGCAGGTAATACAAATAGGTAAAGCCGCCAGAGACAATCCACAGGGTCTGGGAAAACTATACAACCCTTAGAAGTGGTTCTCAGAGTATGTCCAGACTAGACACATCAGGAACTAGGTAGAAAAATAAAAAAACCACCACAAAGCCCAGTGTGCAGGAGGGCGGGACCAGATGGCTGAGTGGCAGGGCTCGGAAATTCTCTTAGAGACACTGGGGAAGAGGGAACCTGTGGGTGGGGGGTCCTTCCCACCACGGGGCAGGAATTATCGGAGACGGGGAGAAAAGTGAGCCTGGGCCTCGTTTGCTGCCAAAAGAAAGCTGCTCAATGGGCAGAAATGGCAAGGACGCTTGCAGACAGCCCGTCCCCGGACTCACCTGGACATGGAGGCGTTCATGGCGAGGGCAGGGTAGGGGTGCCGGAAGCCACCAGGAGGAAGGGAGTACATGGGCTGTCCTTGCCTGCAGAGGCCAGGAACAAGGAAACCCAGTCAGCATACTGGCTAAAACGGGAACATTCAGGGCGGAGAAGAGGGGCTGGGAAGAAAGGCCGAGGGATAAAGGGCAGGAAGTAGGAGTGAGGACTGGGAGGAAGCGGGGGGAGGAAGGTCTGAGTTTGGGGCTCCGGTGAGAGGGTGCCCCTGTGGGTGGGGCAGCTGGAGGTCAGTGCAGAACTCAGCCTAAGGATGGAACGGGAGTGAGAGGCCCCTGGTTTCCTTACTGTGGGACGAGCCAGCCGAGGGGGTGAGGGATTTGTCCGACAGCTCCAGGAGACAGCGGGTAATACGGAGACAGTTCCGACGGGTGAGGGGGCCGGGGGATTCCTGCTTCCAAGGAGAGATGTGTCAGACCGTTCCCCGGACCGCCTTAAAACAGCATCGTCTGGGAGGTTCCTCGCCCCAGGTCCCCAGTGTTCTGGAGCTTGGCAGCCTCTTTCTTTTGTGTCCCTGCCCTGTCACCTCCCAGCTCTGCAGACCCGCTGGTCAAGGACAGTCAGGGAGGCAGGACCAGTGCAACCTCCCCGGCTACATGGAAACCATTTCTGTTGGCAGAATTAACTCCCAGCTGCCGATACAGGGATTACTGTCCAAGACAGGGACGAGAAATTCTGGACCCGCAGACCCCGGGACCCCCAGTCACCAGCTAACCGCTTCTCTAGGAAACCTGCGTGTACGGAGAAATGAACTCTGGACCCCAAGTCCACAGTTATCCTCCTTGTCCGCAACGTGTCGTGACTATTTCTCTAAAGCGGGACCCCCAAATACTCTGAGCCACGGTAACTGGGAACTTCATTAAGACTGTGGCTCCCTGGGATAGGCAGGCCTGGTGAACAAGCTAAAAAAAAAAAAAAGCCAGCTCAGCCCTGCTGTCTGATAGCCTGGCGGGACGTGGGTACTCCTCCACTTGAAACATTCGGTTTAGGGCTGAAGTCTCGTTTAGGGAGGCACAGCTGGCACTGTGCTAGATGTCAAAGTTAATAAAAAAAAGAGATTTCCCCCCCACCCCTGCCAGATCATTCCATTCCCAAAGTGTTGAGATTGTAAAACAGTGGTTCTCAACCTTCTGGCCTTTTAAATACAGTTCCTCATGTTGTGACCCAACCATAAAATTATTTTCGTTGCTACTTCATAACTGTAATGTTGCTACTGTAATGAATCGTAATGTAAATATCTGATATGCAGGATGGTCTTAGGCGACCCCTGTGAAAGGGTCGTTCGACCGCCAAAGGGGTCGCGACCCATAGGTTGAGAACCGCTGTTGTAAAGTAATAGAAACAGAGACACACCACTTGCTGGCTGTGGGGCCAGACCCTGTGCACAATCTGGTTTAATTTCCTTTCACCCTGACAGTAACCCTGCGGCACGGAAGGTACAGATAATGTACCGGTGGAAAAACCGAAGAGCTGAAGCCAGTGGTCAAGGCTGCGACAGCTGAGGACTCGACCGGGACCCAGGTCCAGTGGGCGCTCCGAGGAGAGAAGCCTGCCCCCGCCCCCCTTGGAGCTCTGCTCGGGGTGCCGCCCTCCCGCAGCTGCAGACTCACCTGTCTTTGGATCAATCTCCGGGGAGAGGTGTGTGGGCGGGGAGCCCGGGGGGAAGTGGTCGCTGCTGTAGGTGATGAGGGGCGTCAACGGGTGCATGTGGTGCGGGTGCTGAACGACAGGAACTTTATTCGACTGAAAGACACGGAGAAAAAGACTAGGGACAGTTGCCAAGGAGATGGAGAGTGAAATCAGCTGACAGTCACTGAGTCGAGAAAGTGCCAGGTATTTTCCAGGCCCCGTCCCATTCAGTCCTCACACAGCCCCGGAGAGAGAGGAGCGGGAGGGATGATGCCCGCCCTCCAACATACCCTCTTCTAAACAAGTGTGTACGATACATGTTCAGCTCACATAACTGGTGCCACTTTCAGATGCGCAGACAGCCCCAGAGCCCCTCTCCCAGCCTCACTTCACTCTGCCGACCTAGCTACCTCGCCGTTTCACTGAAAACACTAGCTAGTGTAAGGAGTACCATTATTTCATATACTTATTACGAAAGAAAAAACCCTTGCGTATCAACATATCCTGATTTCAGAAACGTTAAAATGGGAAAAACCTGTGCGTCCTAGTACTGGCAAAATGAATTGATTTTTTAAATGTCTTAAAGTAATTTTTTAAAATATATTTTATTGATTTTTTAAAGAGGAGGGGAGAGGGATAGAGAGTCAGAAACATTGATGAAAGAGAAACATCGATCAGCCGCCTTCTGCACATCTCCCACTGGGGATGTGCCCGCAACCAAGGTACACACCCCTGACCGGAATCGAACCTGGGACCTTTCAGTCCGAAGGCCGACGCTCTATCCACTGAGCCAAACCGGCTTTGGCTAAATGCCTTAAAGTAATTTACCTTAACAATAGGATCTTCCTTCTACAAGCACAGAGCGAGGCATACTGTCTAGGCTTTATTATAACCTGGCAAGGCAGTGGTGGTCATTGCCATCGAAGACACCGAGCCATCGAAGACACCGAGCTCAGAAAGGTTAGGTGACTCAGCTGGCAAGGGGCAGAACTGGATCCGTATCTCCCCTTTCTCTGTGCCCTTGGCCTCCCCAAGAACCTGGTCAAACCATCTCGGTCAGAGAGAAAGGATAGACATACCTTTTATTTTAGGTAAAATTTTTTTTGTAATATCTTTATTTAAAAAATATATTTTTATTCCAGAGAGAAAGGGAAAGGGAGAGATAGAAACATCAATGATGAGAGACAGTAATTGATCGGCTGCCTCCTGCACGCCCCCTACGGGGGATCGAGCCTGCAACCTGGGCATGTGCCTTTGACCAGAATCAAACCTGAGACCCTTCAGTCCGTGGGCTGATGCTCTACCCACTGAGCAAAACCGGCTAGGGCTTTTTAGATAAATTTTTAAAATAAGATGAAAGAGTTATAAGTAGAGAAGAGATCTGTTTAACAAAGAGACTTGTAAAAAGGATGGCGATTTGGAGGCAGCCCCAGGGCTGGAACTCCAAACTGCTGTCTTCCAGTTTGAACTTCTCATTTCATAGATTCTACAAGCCCTTTTCCGCTTTCATCTGATGCCTATTTGGTTCTCATAATGGAAACTCCAGCCTGTGCACCTGCTAGTATCTGTGTGCTGACGGCAGCCGTGTCCCGTTTTCAGTAGGCTGAACAGACATGAGAGGAGGAGTACTGGCACAGGACGGGAATCCAGGGCTCCAGCTCCCAGGCCGCTCTGAACCACAACCACTAGGTGGCGCTGGCTGGACCCTGCAGGTACCTGACCATGAACAACTTCCTATCACCTGGCCACAGCAGGCTCATAATTACATAATCTATACTAATAAAAGGGTAATATGCTAATTAGACTGGGAGACCTTCCAGACAAAGCCATGGTGGCAGGGGCTGAGGCAGAGGTGGTTAGGAGTGATCAGGCTGGTGGGGCGGGGGCAAAACTTGGACATCCCCCCAAGGGGTCCCAAATTGGAGAGGGTGCAGGCTGGGCTGAGGGACACCCACCCCCATGCATGAATTTTATGCACCAGGCCACTAGTGATTATAATAAAAATAAATACATAAACTCCATGATGAAAAAAAAAAAAGACTAGAAGTACACCAAAATGTAAACAGTAGTTCTGTTTGAGTGGTGGAATTATGGGTGTTGCTGTTTTGTCCTTTCTGTATTGCAACTATGCTATAAAGCATTAGAGAACACAATCACACCAGCCCAACCCAGTCACTATTATCATCTTGGTCCATCTCCATTCATTAAGACTGCGCATGTTTTGTTTTTAAATTTTATATGTATAGAGAGAAACATCGATGAGAGAGAACTATCAATAGGTTGCTTCCCACATGTACCCTGACCAGGGATCAAACCCGCAATCTGGGAGGCAACCCTTTGGTGCATGGGACCATGTTCAACCAACTGGACCACACCAACCAGGGTGTGCATGTTTTTTATTTACATCATTTATAGCCATTTTTTAACGAAAAGATTTTTTCAGCTTTACTAAGGTATAATTGACAAATAAAATTGTAGTATCTTTAAAGTGTACAATGTAATGATTTGACATATATATCCACTTAAATATACTTAATGGTATTATGAAATCTTGACTGACCATGTGCTGTTGAGCGGCCTCATCAGGAGGTGGCAAACAGCACTGAAGAAGTGGCAGAGTTAAGTAAAGGCAGGAAAATGTGAGTTATATTTGAAAATGTAGGTATCTTAATTTAAACGCCATTATTATTGGTTCCCAGAAGGTGGCAGCATTGTCCAGAGCAAGGAAGGCAAAGTCTCAGATGTCATTGTCCCTGGGCTGTGAGCAAGAGGGCTCTTTGGGGCTGATTCAGGAAAGGCTAACCCTAGCCTGAACCCTAACCATCCCAATAAAAGTTCTTGCTTTTTCTCAGGCCCAGAGTAGAAATGCTGGAACACCCTACGGTGACGGTGACAGATGTTAACCAGACTCACTGTGATGATCATTTTGCAGCATATACAAGTATCGAATCATTGTGCTGTAATCCTGAAACTAATGTAATGTTTATATCAGTTATACCGCAATAAAACTTTTTAGTAAAAAGTAAAGAAAATGCAGATAACAACAATAAGAACAACAAGTCCTTGTGTTGTATCTACTATGTACAGGCAGTGTTCTAGGTCTTGTGACTGCACTAGAAAATCTCGTCTACTTTAGACAAAAACACCTGTCCTAAAGGTACTTAGATCCTAATTGAAGAGACAAGACAATAAACCAATATAATAATATCTACATATATAAAAGCCCAGCAACCAGAACGGTGGAATGACAAGAGGTTATGATGCTCACTGCAGCAGCCAACCAGCCTGATCCAGGCCCCATCAGCCCTCCCTGACCCTGGCCCGGCCCCCGATTGGCTCCCAACCCCCCGACTGGCTCCCAACACCCTGACTGGGGGTGGGGCCAGCTGGCTAACTGCCCTCGGCCCCTCCCCCCTGCCGGCCTTATTAATTACAAAGGGAGAAAGTAACTCCACAGTGGGAAACATGGCAGACACCCCCTGAACCAAAGGAGCAAGGCGGGTATCACCGGAACTGGACAAACGGGCCCCGTGCCTCCCCCCGCCCCCCCCTGCGATGCACTCGGGACACAACCTCAGTGCAGGAGTGTTCTTGCCAAACACACACAGCCTGAACCTGACCACAGGAAACATCAGACAAACCCAAACAGAGGGACATTTTTAAAAAGTGTCAGGGTCAGGTCAGGCCAGACGGAGGCTAAGGAACTCACTAAAGCAAAGGAGACCGAAGAAGCACGACCACTCAATGTGATGTGTGATCACGGACTGAGCTCCAGAAAACAACCACCTGGCTGTAACAAATACTGCGATGATGGGACACTTACCCAAACTGGGACATACACTGTGAGTTAGATAATAATATGGAATGTCAACTTCTCGATTTTGATAACTGTGCTGTGGTTGCTGTGGTGTCATAGGAAATACATCTGAAGTGTTCAGGGCTAAAGGGGCACAACGTCTCCAACTTACTCTCAAATTGTTTTTAAAAAATTCCATGTGTGGCCCGGCCAGTGTGGCTCAGTGGTTGAGCATTGACCTATGAACCAAGAGGTCACAGTTCGATTTCTGGTCAGGGCACATGCCTAGGTTGTGGGCTTGATCCCTAATGGGAGGTGTGCAGGAGGCAGCCAATCAGTGATTCTCTCTCATCATTGATGTTTCTCTCTCTCTCTCTCCCTTCCCCTCTAAAATCAATAAAATATATATATTTTTAAATTTGTTTCCAAATAAAAAAAATAATACTGCCCTGGCTGGTGTGGCTTAGTTGGTTGGGCATCGTCTCATGCACCGAGGAGTCTTGGGTTCGATTCCCAGTCAGGGCACATACCCAGGTTGCAGGTTTGATCCCTGGTTAGGGTCTGTACAGGAGGCAGCCGATTGATGCTTTTATCTCACATTGATGTTTCTGTTTCTTTCTCTCTCTCCCTCTCTCTGTCTCTCTTTCTAAAATTAATAAAAATATATTTAAAAACAGAAATTTGGCCATTTGATGAAAGTGATTTAAAAAAAGTTAATACTGTATAATAAGAATTGAAATCAGTACTGGAGGCAGAGCAGGGCAGTAACAGGCTATGTGACGAGTTTTGGATGTTTTTCTAGTCTACACAGGTAGGCTGCTAAGAAGATGGAGAAACTACAATTCTAACATGTTTCTGCTTGAGAACCGGCATGCTAGGCGGTCAGGCTGCTCAGCTCAGTGGGGAGCAGCGAGAGGAAGGAGGGTTCCAGGCCCTGGCTCGACACTGCTGCTGGGACAGGAAGTGCAGCGCCGCGGAGTGGCCTCTGCCTGTGCTGGAGCAGGCGCTCACTCTCGTTAAAGGAAGCACGCGGCCATCCCAGCAGACAGTTACAAGTGCACATGCACACGGAGACAAGACGGAAACGCTGTACAACCAAACGCGAGTTGTGGGGTTTTATACATCTGCTTCTGTGTACTCTGGCCTCTTCCCAAGTGTTCTACACAGTGCATGCACCATTTCATGGTTTTAAAAAAGAAGTAATTTAAAAAAATCTTGACTGAGAAGAGGGATTGGATGCAGGGGTGGAGAGGGGCTTCAGGAGGGGTGCCCCAGCCCATTTATCCTTCTAGTCATTCAACAAACGCTCCGGGAGCAG